TTTTGGAAAACGAAAATATTTCTGTTCAAATTTCAATTTTATTAATTAAAAAATTTCAAATCAATTTGCAAATCATTTCAAGCCAGCGTAGCAAAGAAAAAAAAAACGACTCATCACAAAGTTTTACCTTTGATTTTGATCACATCCTTCCCCAAAAATTCAGTTTACCAAAGTTGAGAAACAGGAACGTTTAGAATATTCGTGCTAATTCGTATCGTAACTGAACTGAACTGAACAGAATATTCTTTAAAAATGAATTATTTCCTGCGCAACAAAACATTTCAAAATTGGGCAAAGTCGTTAGATACAAAAAATAAGAAAAAAAATAAAAAGGGGAAATATTACACAAAATATAAAAAATTACGACATTTAGTAGGGCACCGTAACACGGCAACCTTTTCTTCTTTTATATATGTTAACAAACATAATAATAACAAGCTCACAACTGAGAACGCAATGCGAGCTTATGGTTTTCGTGTTACAAATCACGCGCACCATGTTACGCGAGAACAAAAATTCATTTATTTTAAGTCGGGTTTGGGATTGCATCTTCTTCATAGAAAACGACATCATTCAGGCCAAGACAGTAGTCTATTTTATTAAAGTCGAGATCTACGAAGCTGTTTGTAAAATATATTTAATTAACGTTTTGTTATTATTATCAATTATTCAATAACTATATAAGCGGGTTTGATCGGACAAGATCTATATAATTAGATTGTTAATAGTTAATAATGGAATTTTATTATATGCAAAAAAAATTTTTTTTGAGTTGTAAATTTTGTTTTATTAAATAAATTTGTTGGATTTTTTCATACATCGTTCATATATCTTAAATTGGTCGCGTTTACAATCATTTTGACATTCGTTATATTAATTATATCGAGAGATATGGCCAAGAGAAGAGTTAGGAAGAGAGTTATTCTTCAATCAAGTCGAAAACCAACCCTTTAAATACATTTTCGAGTAGTACGGTTTAATTTATTAGACTATTTCAAATGGTTGCTTCCAACTTCTTAAATTCGAACCATTTGTTAACGAAAAAACTGTTGGTGAAGTGATTGTTGACAAAATGAATCAATGTTTTATGTTAACGTTTATTTTTACGTTATCAAATTCAGGATTTTGGTTGGTCGATCAACAATTGCGTGGGTTAAAATTTTGTGTTATCAGAACGGTCTCTCCTATTATATGTAATGAATGATTGAATCAATTGAATCGTGTATTTTTGTTATTGTAATGCTATGAAACACTTGGCGCAGTGGTATTTTTATTTTTTGACATCTTGTATAATGTTGTATAATGATAAATGATTTCATGGTTTGAATGTGCTCACCATCTGTAAACTTGATTGCTTGAAGATGGACAGGGACATTGAGTTCTGTGCGCTGAAATGGCCTGAGAGGAATTTCTCTACAAAAAAAAACGAAAAAAAAATGTGGGGACGGCCGTCCTATTTATATTTTTTTTGAATTGATAAAATAGACTCTTATTGTTTTGACCTGAGTGATGTCGTTGTGTGAGTAAAGGACACGAAGCTCACTGTCATGTTTTCGTTTAAAAACTTGTTATCTAGATTAAAAAAGTCTTTTAAAAAACCCGGATCTATAAATATAGATCCGGTTAGATTGAGTACAAGTGAGTTTTTTCCGGAACAAACTTCAAGCCCTGCTCTTATTATTACTCCAACACCGATAATAAATATATGGTCACCACTACCAACCAGTACATATAAAGAATTAAAATTAAAAACATTGCCTTCTATACATGCGCATATATGATGAATGAATGTGTTTTGGCAACATTTTTAATTAGAATTGGGAACTGTATCCATTCATAATACAATTTTGTATTCGAATGATTCGCTTGAGTTGTTTGATTTGTTTGATTTGTTCGATTCAAATCATTTGAATCGTTCGATTTTATTCATTTACTTTGATTGTCTGAAATCCTCATTTATTCAGTTTGTTCAAGTTCGTTTAAATTGCTTGAACTATGGTGCGTATCACCTATACTCATCAAAAAATGCCGATCAGTCCGAATTTTTGAATGTATATCTTAACCTTATTTG